TTAAAGGGTTCAAGAATGACTTTTGTATGCTCATCAAAAGGTGGCTTGAGACCAATCACTATAGTGTGTTTATTAACAGTAAGGTTTATGGTTATTTTCCAGCCTTCAGAGGTATTAAGCAGGGGATCCGCTCTCTCCTACTATGTTCACTATTGCTTTTGACTACTTCTCTCGGCTTATAAATCGAGTACAACTCTAACACCCACACATACAATACTCTCACAAATCGAAGATCTTGGTTAGTCACCTTGCTTATGTTGATGATACTATTATATTTTCTAATACTGGTAAGAATGTCAGTATGAATATTTTAGAGGATTTTCAGAACTCCTCTAGCCTCCTTTTCAACAGATCTAAATGCTCTATTTATTTTCGCAAACATGTTCCTCAACATATTAGAAATTGGGCCACGGATTATACTGGTAGTAAAACTGTCAATCTCCCTATTAAATATCTTGGGGTGAATATTCTGATGGCCAGGAGGAAGCAAAATCAACTTGATGAGGTGAAAGTTAAAATTAAATCAAGGATTAATTGATTGGAGAAACATCTTTCTTTCTAATGGAGGACGGCTCACCTTGCTTAAAAGTGTTCTTAGCAGTTTGTCTCTTTATGCTTTGCAAGTCATTAAGGCAAAGAAAAGCACTTTGAAAAATCTTGAAATTCTTTTTAACAAATTTCTTTGGCTTGGGTCTGGTTCGAGCAAAATTTGGGCTGATTGGGCGAGAGTATCTATGTCTCCGTCTTCTAGAGGGCTTGGCTTTAAAACTCTACAACAAATTGTTGATATCGATATGTACAAGCTTTGGTTTAAATTTTGTATGAGGGAGTCTCTTTGGGCACAATTTCTTTATCATAAATATTGTCACACTGCTCACCCATCTACTGTGGCTTGGAAAACAGTGATTCTAAACTTTAGAAGGCTATAACCCTTGCTAGAACTGTTGCTACTCAGTTTATTTTTTGGGAAGTTGGAGATGGTAAAATCTCTTGTTGGCATGATCAGTGGGGCACATCTGACCTTACCACTCTTCCACATTCTGATACTACTTCTAACTTGTTGGTCTCTGATGTTTGTGATGGTGGAGATTGGAATATTAATAGGTTGAGATCCTTGGTCGGAGAGTTAGCTCCTTCTGTCACCAATACCCCAATTCTCAATGGGGGTAGAGATAAACCTAGGTGAAAATTTCTTTCTACAGGTTCTATAACTAAAATGTTACATAAAAATATTAACTGCTTTCACAAATGGAAATGGAGCTCATCTATATGGCACTCTTTCATTTCTCTTTCCTCCGGGGATATTTTCATTCCTTCTTGCCTCTTGATGACATCCTAAAGCTAAAGGGGCTGAAGTTGGCTTCTATATGCTATATATGTAAGAGTGACGCTTGATCATCCCAACATTTATTTTTTTAATGTTGTTTTGCTAGGCAAGTTTGGAATATTGTTGGTGCGCTACTTGGAATATGATGGCCTAGTCCATTTAGTTTAAATAAACTTTTTGGGGCTTGGCAGGGTACTTCCTCTTTCCCCCCTAAGATGGAGACAACAGGGTATTGGCCTAGTTCATCTAGCTTGCTCGAAACGATTATAAACATCACTCTCCGCCCCCCCTCTCCTGCTACTACGATTTCCTTCATTATGGCAAATTATTATAAAGTCGTTAGAGCTATAAATAATGCTAAAGCTATTTCTAATACTGAGGGAAGGATGAGACCTGTTTTGGTCATATGGTTACCACCTTTACCGAGGTGTTTTAAGGCCAACATTGTGCTAGTTGGTCTAATATGGTTGCTTGTGCAGGTGGTTTGTTTAGAGACTGTTATGGGATTTGTCATGCATTTTTTGCCTCATCAATTGTTATCTCCATTCCACTTGAGATTGAATGTTATGATGCTCTGTGGGCTTTAAAGGTCAGTGTCTCTTTTAATTTCAAAAGTGTTATCATTGAGACAGACTCAAAATGTTTATATAATATTCTCATCAAGAATTTTGAGCCGGTTTGGAGTATAACTTGTTTATTACACCGTATACATAATGAAATACATAGCAACCAGCTTCAAATCCTTTTCACTTTGACCTATAGAGAGCGTAATACTCCTGCGGATTGGATTTCTAAACTAAAGTTAAATGATGCCTTGGTTGGCATTACCCCCCGGAGATGATGGTTTATTATGTTGTTTCATTTCACTATCACTTTGGGCTTTGCCCCTTCGGGTGTTAGGAAGGCTAGTCTTATATGTGTCTTTCATGCAGAAAAGAAACTTTTTTGAATCCTCTTTTTTTATTACGGGCTGGATGATAGAGTATTGGCGGCTATGGCTTTTTTATGGGGATGTATTGGTGGTTCATTAAGGAAGATGTATGAAATTTTTTCTGTACAATTATTGGCCCCACGGTTTGTTTTGGGAAGGATAGTTTAACAGGCTCATTTGATGTTTGGCTTCTATGTTATGTTTCATGGGGGATCTTCGGCTAGCTTTCATCTATCATTATGAGAGAAATTCTAAATGTTGTGTGGATACTTTGTTGCTCTCCCTATATAGGGTTAGTGGCGGTTTCAGCACCTTTATGGAGATAGGGGACTCTACAGTTTTGTTATGACTTTGGAGGTGGTTCTTTTGGTTTTTATTTCTCACTATGGGGAAGCACTAAAGGTTTTTTGGTTTCTATTTCCCGTTTTCTGCTTTTCATGTGTTGGGCAGCTGGCGGTTTTTGGCTATTTTATGGAGATGGGCTTAACTTTATTTACATTACTTATGTTCGTCATTTCAGGCTCTTTCTGCTGATCTACCAAGTTTATTTGAAGGCCCATGGCTCATTTTTAGTGTCTCATGCTCTTCTTTTATTGGAGGCCCTTGGCTCTTTCTAAATATCATGTGTTTCGGATCTTATAATTATAATTGAATAGATTATCATTCCACTAATATTTTGGAGGTCCATGGCTCCAAATTTTCGTGTCTTATAGATTGGAGGCCAATGGCTCCAATTATTTGCTACGGTTGTGAGCTGAGTTTTTATCTCTAAGACCCAGTTTTTTATATTCATGCGGTAGTTACTTTTTGGAGCTTCTTACTATGTGGCAAACACCTTTTCTCTTAGTACAGGATCGTTTTAATCCTTGCAGGGTTTGATGTTTTTTTGTTGCTTTTCTCACTAGACCAAGAAGCCCCAAATTCTTTCTTGACGCTCTTTCAATACAGATGATATGTGATTTGGTATACATGTATTTTTTTTTGTATACTTTTCTTTTGGTATACACTTTCGTTTACATGTACTTTTGGGATGTCCTTCTTACTTTACTTACTTCCGTTTTTCTTTCGCGTTGAGTTGTACTGTGGACAGTGGAACCCCTAGATCTATGATGTATTTTTTGTTTTTAGATGGGGATCTACTATCCCTTCCCAACTTTGTAACCACTTTTATTATTAACACGTAGGGAGCCACGATTTACTCTTTTTCTTTAAATATAAAAAAAAATATATATATATATATATATATATATATATAATAGTATGCTTCCCACCTTCAACTACAGTGCTTCTTTCCGCAAGTAGGACGTAGGTCAGTTGGTATGTATTAAAGGTTTTGCCACCGTGATACGTAGTAAATGAAATGAATAAAAAGAATAAAATTACCCGAATAAGAAAAATATTGTAGGTACATCCGTACAATGAGATAAATTCTTCTATAGTTCGATAGTCACACATGTTCCCCACTTAAAATAATCAAACATCCAGCTAAAACTCATAAGATTAAAAACTAGAAAGAGAACAAATATTCAACCAACGTTTTTTTATATGCTTTAAAAGTTTCCTATTTATAGAAAACTAGTTTTCTAGTCTGCTACCCCTCAAAAGTTTAATTTAAATTTCCAACTTTCAATAAATCATAATAAGAAAAAATCTGCCAAATATATTTCCTCAAAACTCATAGGAACCCATCAACAACTTCCACAAAAATTACATTAAAGAATATTACCAAAAGCACAGTAATTCATAAAAACTTGATCATCTATGACGGACACACTCTAATAATTAAGAAAAAACCGGAACTACAAAGGGAAGAATAAAAAGGGAAAAGAAATTTCTCGCTGCACCAACAAAAGACGAAAAAATACTACTCATCTAGTTGGACATACATATTCATCACTGCCAATTGGATAAATTATAAATACCAATAAGAAAACTGAACATGACCACTTAACCTGAGAAGCCACCCATATTAGAAACCATCATCAGCGATCACTAACGAAAAAATATCTTGTTGTCATATGTCATCCTAATCATAGGCAAGAATTTCATTACAAAAGCTAACAAACTAAAGTAAAATAGGGGCATTTACATACATAGCAAACAATTCTTATGTATTTACATATCTCACATCTAAACTTTCATATTTACATAAATAGCACTCGAGCCAGTACTTAATGCCATGGATTTAACAAGAATAAAAAGACAATTTTCCATCAGTTAACACTTTATAAATCACTCAAAAGAATAGGTAAAGAGCATCAAAAAATTAAAACCAAAATAGTAGGGCTAAGGTTCACTATAGTGATGTTGATAAAAACTGAACTTGAAGAGCAGCTACGAGAGGTGGAGAGTTCTTCAGTTTTTCTGGCTATAACTTTCAAACAAGAAATGGCATCAAGTGAAACGAAAAAATAGACCAATCTAAGTTATGACTAAAAAAATTCTTTTGCAAGACCGAATCAGCTGGAACGCTGAAGGATCAATATGACGAGCTGATGCACCAAAAACGCAATATTTTTTATTCTTAAGTATGTCAGATAACAAAGTATAACAAGAATGATAATGTACTAGAGAACACACCCGAATGATTCAAACACAAATGATGAAAGGAGTGTACTACTTAATCTAAGCTTCATGAAATAGAGCAGCAACCCAAGAAAATCAGGTTAACTATAACTATGAAACAACAAACTTGGCTGTTCCGAGCAGCATTTAAGAAGAAAAAAGTATAAAAGCACGTACAGAAGCGAGCTTATCCATCGGTTAATAGAAGTCCCGCATCAACCTATCTGCCACTGCAAACATATCAACCAAGACAAACAATTTTTTCATTCAGCAAAAGAAACTCTCTTCCATCACATCATATTTTCAAAATAACCGCAGTCAATCATACGAAAAAAATCACCTTGAGAACCGGCTCCCCTTTGGAAGGGGAATTTGATTGTTTGGCAGCTGCAATCTGCGCCTTGAACGCTCTCCCTGCCGCCGACTTTTCAAACTGCTCCTGCCTGCAATCGCAAGGGCGTGAATGAGCTCAACATCAAAATCTCCGAAAAGTAAAACAAGGCACCCCAATTCAAAAACATAAAATCCTATCAATGGCGCAACACAAAATCAAATAATGGTTTTCTGAAAAAGACAAGATGAGAGAAGAAAAATCGCCTCTTTTGGGCGGCCTCAGCGGCCTTCGCGCGGGCGTCTTCCGACTCGAGGCGATCGGCCTCCCGCTGTGCCTTGGATGGACCGAAACAGGAACACAAAGCCATCGATTTCTGTCGCCGAACAAAGCTTCTGGGTAATTGTTCCCTCCACGAAGCTCCGCAATTTTTGATTTGTCAGTCACATATTGCGAAATGTGGACGTACAAATGCCGGAGAAGAAGCCCTACTCCGACCAGACCGATTGCGTTGGTAGCCAGGTCCTAAGTGGGCTCCGCAGGCCTATTAAACTCAAATTGAACAATATTCATTCATGCACTTAGGGCTATCAAAAAGGCTCGTGTTCGGTGTTCGGTGTTCGGCTTGTTAATAAACTCGTATTCAACTCGTTCGCTAAGTTAACGAGTCGAACACAAACAACACGAACAATATCTGTTCGTTCGTGTTCGGCTCGTTTTGGCTCGAAATACCACTAATCAATTATATATATAT